GGATATTTAAATCCCCGCTTCATTAGCAATTTCGGTCGGCTACATTTGCATCCCTAGCTCAAACTAGGGAGCAAGTATAGATGTACCCTTAGTCTCATGTAATTCATATGACACACGCAAATTTATAGTGGTATCTGTAAAGTAACCCAATAATCTTTATTTATGATTCAGTCTAACCTTATCATTCTTATTCTGTTGTAAATGTGACATTTAGAAACAAAATCTAAACAAATCTTTGGAGGGGGGGAGTACATGTAGAGAGAGACAGAGAAATACATTGTGTGTATGAGTTTATTATATATATTATAATAAAACACGTATGTAGACAATCTGTTATTTGCTTTCTTGTGGAAATGCAGTTTTCATACTAGTTATAAATATCCCCCTGATTCTTTTTTTCCTTCCAGTTTATTCATTTGATGTTGGCTTCATGCCCCATTTCCAACAGGGATCATGGACCACGGTATCATTTCGAGCGCATCCACAAAGCAACTCAGCTAATGATTTTTTTTTCGGTAGCTCAAACAGCATTCATTGACCTTGAAACTTGATGTGACTGCAGTTAAGATTCTGGATTTAGTCACCAGTAGTGGAAGCACACTTTTAGTGTCATGCTGTCTGTCTACTGTGCTGCTTTGCACCCACTTGTCATGCAAAATCCAAGCCTGCTAAGGATTTAATTCATTTTTAGATATACTCTAAGGGTATGTCTACACTCCCCCCCTAGTTCGAACTAGGGGGGGTAATGTAGTCATACGGAGTTGCAAATGAAGCCCGGGATTTGAATTTCCCAGGCTTCATTTGCATGAAGTCGGCCGGCCGAACTAGCTAGTCCGTGCCGCGTGTAGCCGCGCGGCGCGGGGTCCGAACTAGCCGGCATTTAAAAATGGTGCAGGCCGGCTTTATGCAAATGAAGCCCGGGATTTGAATTTCCCGGGCTTCATTTGCAACTCCGTATGACTACATTACCCCCCCTAGTTCGAACTAGGGGGGTAGTGTAGACATACCCTAAGTGAACTGAGAAAAAGACACAGTAAAATACAATTTGACTGGATATAATCAGGAGTGGTGGAGGTAAAATTATAATAAAAATAAAAATTGTAGTTAAAAATAGATAGTTTGAAATAAATATGTTTACCTCAAGAAAGGAGAAAAATGGAGAGAATTGTGTTAAAATATTTTTTCCTATGAAATACACATTTAATCTGAAGGCCTAAAAAGGATGGATTCAGTGGTCTTGACTCTGACCATGCAAGCTTCCAGTCCTAAGAGCATTCCTCACTCATACAGATAGCCCCAATAGTCTGCAAAGGGCAACTTGTATGGATAACGTTTATTTGAGTAAGGAAGGCTTGCATGAATGGACCCTTAATGTTCACCATTTGCAGCACACACAAAAAGCGCATAATGCTGTCTTTCGGCCAGACCCTTGTCTGGTGTTTACACCAGATGAGAACTTGGTCATTTGTTTTCATAGCAAATATTTTTAAATGTTGAAAATAATTAATTGTATTCAGAAATCTCATAAATGATCTGACATTGAGTTGGTGTGATTAATAGTCTTTACCCAGAATGACCAAACAGAAGGCTCTGAGTTAGGCTAAAAGGGGTAAAAAACAAGAGTGATGTCATGTTAGGAGTCTACTACAGGCCACCTACCCAGGTGGAAGAGGTAGATGAGGCTTTTTCTAAACAACTAACAAAATCATCCAAAGCCCAAGATTTGGTGATGATAGGGGACTTCAACTATCCAGATATATATTGGGAAAATGAAATGCATCCTAGAACCAGTGGATAAGCCTTCCTCTCTGCAAGCAAAGGAATAAGCGACACAGTAACACACTCCCACATCAATTACTGCATTTATTTGATAGGCCTTTTAAAAGGATATTTAAAAGGCAGGGGAATTCCCAGTCACTCTGACTCCTGGGAGGTGGAAATCAAAAAGGTTACCACACTGGCTGCACTGTGGGGAGTGTGCAACGAGTCCTTCCACTGGTACAGCTGCATGTAGGGGTCTACCCTGCCCACACACCCATATAGCTTGCCTGTCAGGGAGCTGCTGCGGGTCCCAAAAGGGGATAGCTAGTGTGCATTAGGGGAGGACTAGTTTGGTAGGAGACAGATATGGGTGTGGAGGGCTCTGATGAAAGGTGAGTTCTTCTAGGGCAGTGGTCCCCAACCATTGGAGGTTGCTGGGCGCCAGGGGGCGTGGCCATTTGCCTGCCGGGCGCCAGAGGGCGGGGATACTTGGGCGCCCGGGGGCGGGGCTCCCCCCATAGCCGCGCGCCCGGGGCCAGCCCCCCCCAAGTGTGCCACAAAAGAGAAGCACCTGAGGTGAAACAGAGTTGCACATTGAACTCTGAACTCCTTGTTGTTATAAGATTGCCTGAATATAAGTGATACCTTTTAAATATTTATTTTCCATTTTTGTAACAAGGGTAGTACTCAACTATTGTCATACAGCTGTAGTTCACTTTATTATGTTTGTCCAACACATCAAAGTACCTAAACATCATTTTACTCAGCTAGGTTTTCATTGACTCCTTGCTCATTTCAAACATTCCTTCTGAATCTCCAGAGACATTCAATTTGATATATTACAGTAGAATATAAAAAGGAAGAAAAAGACCTTCCATTATTTTGAAGCTGTCCATGAATTTTATACATTACAAACAAAATAAAGTGCTAAACAAACCAGCAACCAAATGCAAAGCATATTTACTAAATGGCATGTTGGCAACACAATTGTATAATATATTTTAGGGGGAGAAAGATAAGACACGCCACTCCTTTTCGGATAGTGAGAGTGATGAATTACTGTCTACAAACAGATGGCTACCTCTGCTAGTTCTTCAAATGCCATTTTCTGTTCTGCATGATATTGGAGACTTATTTATAATATCAGTAATTACTTACTGATTAATTCACAAAGTTCAAATTGTACCCCTTAACATTCAAATATCACTATCATCCCATGAAAGTATTTTTTTCTATCTTAAATTAGTTACTATCCAAAAGTCCCCTGACACTACTTTTATACGCAATGTAAACAAGAAGCTTAGATTGATAATTATAAACAGAAAGCTAATCTGGATTACTACAAATATCCCTTTTTTCCTTCCATTAAACCCCTTCATTATGTATTTCTCTTCACAGAGATAAAGCCAGCTGATCCTACATACCTGTGTGTTTTGTAAAACAGACACCTTTTCAGGGGAATCTTTACTACATGTTCCTGAAGTCCCACAAACAGAACACTCTGGCTATGCAGAATCTGCAGGCTCCTGATAGGTTCCTTCTGCTTCCTTGGAAAGAGCTCAATTTCTTCTAGTAAGCAGCTGTTGGAAGTCTGATTCATTGGAGCAAGTACTTTCTTAATAGTTCCATAATCTGTAAAGGTAAAGGGGAAATTACAAACTGAAAATCATATAAGGGACAACACCTTCTCAAGACCATTCCACAGGCACAGAAACTATTCTCCCACATTTTGTAAGAGGCCCTATAATTTTGGAGGATTCAACTGGGTTAAACAGCTTACTATACAAGTCAAAGAAAGCTGAACTATAAATATTTTATAAAACAAGTAATGGCAAAACAGTTTGGGAGCATCAGACAAAAACTTTAACACAGTGGAACCTGGAAGATTCACATTCAAACCTCAGCATTTATGTACACAGATCTACAGAATCCATATAAAGCAAGAACAGAGTGTAGGGACATACCTATTATTGCTAATTTACAAGACAACTGTATACCTGACTATTTTTAAAGGACTCAGTACAAATTAATAACATCCATTGTTGCCTCACTTGGTCAGCTTTTGTAAATGGAATGATTTTAATTTAGACTATAAACAAATAGGATAGCTTTTCATTAGCCCAGGAAATAATCTCTTTAAGAAAGTGTACAAGGTATGGAAAGTTGTATGTTTATTTATTCAGTAGGGGCATATGACATTGCAAAGTACAAGTGCTTCATACAGATTGTCTAATAATTTTCATCCTTACTAGAGAAAGTAATCACCATTCCTCTAGTGACTGAGCAATACAGTGATGCTACATGCTACCTTAGAATCATAGAATCCTAGGACTGGAAGGGACCTCGAGAGGTCATCGAGTCCAGTTCTCTACTCTCATGGCAGGACCAAATACCGTATATTCCGGCGTACAAGACGACCCCCGATTTTTGGGGGATGTTTTTTAACTTCAGAGGTCGTCTTGTACGCCGGAATATACGGTATTTGGTCCTGCCATGAGAGTAGAGAACTGGACTCGATGACCTCTCGAGGTCCCTTCCAGTCCTAGGATTCTATGATTCTAAGGTAGCATGTAGCATCACTGTATTGCTCAGTCACTAGAGGAATGGTGATTACTTTCTCTAGTAAGGATGAAAATTATTAGACAATCTGTATGAAGCACTTGTACTTTGCAATGTCATATGCCCCTACTGAATAAATAAACATACAACTTTCCATACCTTGTACACTTTCTTAAAGAGATTATTTCCTGGGCTAATGAAAAGCTATCCTATTTGTTTATAGTCTAAATTAAAATCATTCCATTTACAAAAGCTGACCAAGTGAGGCAACAATGGATGTTATTAATTTGTACTGAGTCCTTTAAAAATAGTCAGGTATACAGTTGTCTTGTAAATTAGCAATAATAGGTATGTCCCTACACTCTGTTCTTGCTTTATATGGATTCTGTAGATCTGTGTACATAAATGCTGAGGTTTGAATGTGAATCTTCCAGGTTCCACTGTGTTAAAGTTTTTGTCTGATGCTCCCAAACTGTTTTGCCATTACTTGTTTTATAAAATATTTATAGTTCAGCTTTCTTTGACTTGTATAGTAAGCTGTTTAACCCAGTTGAATCCTCCAAAATTATAGGGCCTCTTACAAAATGTGGGAGAATAGTTTCTGTGCCTGTGGAATGGTCTTGAGAAGGTGTTGTCCCTTATATGATTTTCAGTTTGTAATTTCCCCTTTACCTTTACAGATTATGGAACTATTAAGAAAGTACTTGCTCCAATGAATCAGACTTCCAACAGCTGCTTACTAGAAGAAATTGAGCTCTTTCCAAGGAAGCAGAAGGAACCTATCAGGAGCCTGCAGATTCTGCATAGCCAGAGTGTTCTGTTTGTGGGACTTCAGGAACATGTAGTAAAGATTCCCCTGAAAAGGTGTCTGTTTTACAAAACACACAGGTATGTAGGATCAGCTGGCTTTATCTCTGTGAAGAGAAATACATAATGAAGGGGTTTAATGGAAGGAAAAAAGGGATATTTGTAGTAATCCAGATTAGCTTTCTGTTTATAATTATCAATCTAAGCTTCTTGTTTACATTGCGTATAAAAGTAGTGTCAGGGGACTTTTGGATAGTAACTAATTTAAGATAGAAAAAAATACTTTCATGGGATGATAGTGATATTTGAATGTTAAGGGGTACAATTTGAACTTTGTGAATTAATCAGTAAGTAATTACTGATATTATAAATAAGTCTCCAATATCATGCAGAACAGAAAATGGCATTTGAAGAACTAGCAGAGGTAGCCATCTGTTTGTAGACAGTAATTCATCACTCTCACTATCCGAAAAGGAGTGGCGTGTCTTATCTTTCTCCCCCTAAAATATATTATACAATTGTGTTGCCAACATGCCATTTAGTAAATATGCTTTGCATTTGGTTGCTGGTTTGTTTAGCACTTTATTTTGTTTGTAATGTATAAAATTCATGGACAGCTTCAAAATAATGGAAGGTCTTTTTCTTCCTTTTTATATTCTACTGTAATATATCAAATTGAATGTCTCTGGAGATTCAGAAGGAATGTTTGAAATGAGCAAGGAGTCAATGAAAACCTAGCTGAGTAAAATGATGTTTAGGTACTTTGATGTGTTGGACAAACATAATAAAGTGAACTACAGCTGTATGACAATAGTTGAGTACTACCCTTGTTACAAAAATGGAAAATAAATATTTAAAAGGTATCACTTATATTCAGGCAATCTTATAACAACAAGGAGTTCAGAGTTCAATGTGCAACTCTGTTTCACCTCAGGTGCTTCTCTTTTGTGGCACACATGCCATTGACCAAAATGCTTTGGTACAGGAAGTAGACCGTAGGTCGGTCGATGCAGTTGGCCAGATCTTCAGCTATTGTAACTCAGCATAGCTGCATTGACTACACTAGGGCTATACTGATTCACATCCACTGAGGATGGAGACACAATTTCAACTCTACCTGATTTAACCAGTTGAAGCTAGAATCTCATTGTAGGGTTTTTTTCCTTCATTCTGCTGTTGCTTGAATGAAGGACCCACACATATCTGAAAAGGAAAATGCCCATTATTATAGTTTCATGCTGCTTCTGTTCTCCA